CTTCATGCAAATTATATCGTTTGGCATATGTGTAGACAATGTGACTGGAAAATGTTCTACTTTATTTATCTTGTTGCATGACAAATGTTTAGAAAGGTCTGTTCGTTTTATAAGTATATGAAAATTCAAATTGAACATTTTCCAGGCACACTTTTATACATTCTTGAGATTCATTAATGGTGGCAGAGAGGAATACTGTTAGAAGCTGTTTATTCTGGCATTGAAAAAATATCAAAATGACTTGATCGCGTCTCGTAGTGTAGAGATTTGTACCTATCATCTTTAGGTTCCTCTCCGGCTAGCACAAATTCATCGCAAGGTGCCAATCAACAGCCACCACCAGGATTACATAATGGGTCTCAAATGCAACTCAGTCATCGGTCGATCTTTCAGGCGGACAATAACAGCTTCTTCAGTTCGAACACTTTCCAGAAAATCTCTACCACCACCTCAGTACCACCTACTTCTTTAACAGGCATGTACATGATACAGTTTCTCTTAGTGTCGTATCTGTGTACACATTTGGACATTTTATCTTACTATCTTGTTTCATACAATTCGTTGTATTCGACGTGAAAGTTAAAGCAAACCAGTGACAATTAAATTTTCTTGAACATATAGCAAACCCAAACCTGAGTTGGTCAAGCACGGGCTTAACTTCTATTCCTGACTCGTTGCCAATGGTTCAGTCCAGTGAAGATTGGCAAGCAGCTTTTGGTTTTCCACCCGAAACATCACGAACGAATCATATTGTACAAAAATCGAGTCCTTCTAGTTCGCCAGGAGTAACATTCAATTCCGATGGTTTCGTAGACGAAGAAGTTTACACCAATCTGCAGTATACCACAATTTCAGAACCCTCTGCTAGTTTTACCTCAAATTTGCTCGTTAATTCTCCCGCATCGAAATTTATGGCCGACTTTCAGCAAAATTCTTTACAACAGAGGCTTGCTATGCAGGTGAGTAATATAAATTATATATTTTATTAAAAGAAAACAATGATTTTTTAAATATTTTTTGGTGAAATGGTTGAAAAGATATTAAGAGATCAATAGAAAAAAAATACTTTATAGTTCTTATACCGTTGAATGCAAATAGTAACGATGATAATTATGATATCTTAAGGCACAACAAAATCAAGAGAACTGTGAATATATAAAACAAAATGGTCATGCTACTTTGGAAGAAGTTCGAAATCACAAAGAATCTGGTTCCGATATAAAAGCTGACGATGACTTAGGCTTTGATCCTTTTCACGAAACACAAAAAGCTTTAGCTGAACTTATGGAAAATGAAATGCAATTGCAACAGCAAAGGTTGTTTCAACAGCAACAACAACAGCAGAGAGAACGAGAAGAGCAAAATAGGGTACAACATCAACAAAATATTGCGAACCTTGGTCAGCAGCATTATCCGCAGGTATACACGTTATAAATGTATCAATTGATACGATGCATTGTATTGCCACCAGCTTTATTACAATTATATCATTTTTAATGTAGGTTGCCCATATAGCACATCTACAACAGCAGGCCCAACACTTGCAAAATCTACAGGTTCTCCAACAATCGCATTCCCTGCTATCTCGTCTTCCACAAAATTTATTACAAAGTGGTACACAGAGTTCTGCTCAGAGTAATGTGACTGCAGCCAGTTTGGGACAACGTAGTCGTCATCCACCACCAGGTTTCCCTGGTTCTACACCAAATCACATGAATTCTTTTGGTCTTGGTATACCGCGACCGGCTCCCACGAATGGTGCTCTTTCGGGTTAGTATTTTCCTAGTCCTTTCAATAGTTTGTGACTTCTGTAAAATTTCTTAGCATAATAAAATGTACTCTTGTGGTGAGCAACAGTGTTATCCAAGTATAAAAGCAAATTGAATTCTTGTGAGTTTGACAGGATCTATTATAATGTTATGCATAAGTCATTCGTCTAGTATGCTGTTTACAGGAGCACAACCACCGCAACAAAACGCGTATCTTCCAAATGGAAACCCCCTTCTGAATTCGCAAGGTAATTTTCAATAATATTGACACCTTGCATGTGTTAATATGAACTTCATAATTTATTAAGTATCAGGTCGTGTAATATCAAATGTCGGATTTTTCTTATTCATAAATGTTTTTACTCCCGTCGTTGTTATTCCTTAAACAATTTCATTGTCGATTACCAGAGTAACTTTTTACAAAATAGTTTGATCGAATAAATGTCTTTTAGAACATCAAATATTTCCTTTTTTTCACAGGCATTAGTAAATGTGCGGGTGATGCAGTTTATACGCTTAAGGATTGGTGTGATATTAATAATCAACAACAACAGCAACAACAATTTCATCATCAAGCATTACACCAAAAAGGAGGGTGGAACAACTTTGGACCTATTGCGGATTGGACCTCGATTGATCCAGCTATTGTTAGTTCTTCTAGGCCTCTTCCATTCCAAACTACTAGTACATGGCAGTTCCCACACGTTCATCCCACACATACTGTTTCACATAATGCGCAACAGGTATTGAACATATTTTATAAACGATTTAAATTTATAAGGTCTATCATTACTGTCAGTATAATTAGGAAACATGGAGAATTTATTGTATTTTCGTTTATCCCCCTATTAGGAACCTCAGAACGCACCAACTCAACATTGGGCAATGCAACCACCTCCAGGTTTTGCTGCACCAGCGACTACGGGACAATTGAGTAATCAACCAAGCACAACTGCACAGCCGCACACCAAATTAATCTCTGCAGGATCGGAAATTGAAAGTAAGTTTCTCAGTTATAATTAAATATTTCCATTTATCTTTTTTTAGATGCAGCAATGAAATATACGAAGTGTCTATATTACAGATCTATAGATAAATACGAGTACGCGAAATGTACAACTGTATGATAAAAAAAGCATCCATACGAGACGAGATGAAAGTCAGCAGTGATAACAAAAAACTACCCGACAGTCTGTTCCGTACGTTTTCCTGACTCATGTCTATATCTTTCAATTATAAGTTTATTTTTAATGCTTTATCTTTTCTCACTGGATGAATATTTGTCGTTGAACAAGTATTGAAAGACGCTGAAATATAATTTAATGGATACTTTCGAATATATGCGACGAATATACTCCTATATATGTTCTCGACGATATTCGCATATTTAACCTATAGTAAATTCGAACTCTCTACAAGTCTGGCAGTCTTGTTATTAAGTAATTAATTGCGTTTTACCGTAGACCGATAAAGGTGTCAAATTAAAGACAATGATCATGATTTAATAATTAACACTTAAACAAGGATACTTATAATGGTATAATTACAAAATATATATATATATATATTTATATATGTATATATATATTTATCTATATATTTGTATATATACATATATATATATATATCACTCAGACTCAAGTAAATTTATTCAAGCGAGGAACGAAGTATGCTTTATTGTGTAAATAACATTTTCGAAACAAATGTCACAAGATAAAAAGTGCACACGACCACCATATTTCAGGAGCGAGTTTTCTCCTAAACCGATAATAAAGGTTTCGTTTATGATAACAAATTAAAAATTTGTGAAGTTGTGTTATAAAAACAAACGATCGACATTTCGCACGTCTTTTTATTTAAACTGTAGCGACGTATTACATTTATACTATAAAAGTGCTTATATAATGGCGACGTTAGAACAAATTTTTTAACAGAACATTATCTATTTGTCTGCTCCTAGGCAAAGGGTTTCTGTTGTGTATATATATATATACATGTATATATATATATATGTATACATATATATATATTATATATATCTATATATATATATATATATATATTATAAGTATGTAC